TTGTGTGGTCTACAGATAAATAAAGAATTCCAGAGAAAATGGCCAGACTTGACCATTGCACAACAAAAATGATGGATGTAGTCTCATCAAGGACAGGAGCTACAGGAGTGACAATCAGACATATAAAAGACATGCTTCTCCAGGTATGGAAATTATTAGGCTTATCTTTGTTGACAAATTCAGATTATATTTGGTTAGTTACTTTCTTTTCTTTTTTTCCTTTTCTTAAATAGCCCAATACAATTGAAGTACACAGACGATCCAGTACGCTATGCCACGGCCTTTTTTTGGCAGAGAAGGAAGATGGACCGGTTTTCAAGGAGGTTCTAGAGTGAGCTAATTCCAACATCTTGGGAGAAAAATGAAATCTACATTGGCAGGTGTAAATACACAGGCAGGAAACCTGGTATATTACACCTCTGGCCACACCCCACATCTGTAATACTCATAACAATGGTCTGTTCAGATAGGTGTTGACAGCAATGGCATGGGAAAATACTTTCAATGTATTAATAAATCAATGTATTTTTTATTTTAATTTGCTATACAAGGACACAGAAGTGTTTGAGGCAGGCCTCAATAGAGAACTGATAAAAAAACTGCCGCCATCGGTGACCGGTCCACCCCAGAATCTGACCATATGACAGCAACCATCATGGTCGAGGGAACCAAAATCCTGGAGGACAAGGATATCCCAAGGTTCTGTGCTTTGCTGATGGGAATCTGAGCTAAATTATGGATAAAACACACTTCAAGAGGCTCTGTGAAAATAAAATCATAAAGTATGGTCTCCTTTTTGGCCTATTATGACAAAGTACAAATGTTGGTCTGAGATGAGACAGTTTGAGTTGGTCTACTGATATAGATACATCTGTGCACTTGTTATTATCTATTTTGTTTTTCTGTTATCCTATTTTTATTTTGAATTACATTTCTTCTTCTTTACTTGTAATTTTCACTATATTACTCTACAGCATAGCATCATAGTTCCTGTTACGCTCCTGTTATCACCACTTGTTCATGGCAGGCCATTTCCATTATTTTTTGCTTATTACATTAATTGCCTAAAGATTGAGGCTATTTATATATTTTTATGTATTTATTTTAATATTACTACTTATACATACATATTGTGTTATTGTAACTTATTTTTATTTTTGTTTTTTATTATTATTATGTTGAATTACTGCTATCTGTATTATTATTATTATTTTTATTATTATGTTCTTACTTATTCAGTCATACATTGCTATGCACTGTCATGTAAGTAAGGGTGGGATTGGGAGTAATTGTCAATCAGTTGTTTACCCTGCCCAAAACAATAAAAAAAAGTATGTAAAAAAACAGCAACTGGTATGACTGATTGTAGTTTCTTATTAATAAATACATTTTGAAAAAAAGAGTTTTAAATAGTATCACAATTAAATAATTGATTTTTCATCTCAGCAATAAATCTTCCTGTTTGTATCTGTCTTGCAATATATTATACATTTCTATCTTTCTGATGTTAGCATTTAGCCTCATATTGCTGCTAGCATGCCTGTATAGAGTTTTATTCTTCTAACCTTTATTTTCTTTTCTTCTGCATGTATTGAACTTATTTACATTTATTTAAGCATCTGAACTGCATGATGTCTATTATCAAGAGCCTGACTTAAGAACAATGTCTGGCTCAACTAGTGTGGTCAAGTAAATTCAACAAGTGGCTGAAATCAGTTTGAATGTGTAGAGGAAGTGGTGGGAATTTGGCCCATGGGACTCAAAATGAGGGAGCACCAACCAGGAAAACCAGGGCAAAAAGCAATGGCCATGAGGTGGTAAACATAATTTATTTTCCAGCCGTGGGTCCATGGTGGTGTGATCAGTAGTCTGAAGCAGTCTGTGCCCTCCTGGTTTCACTTCAGCTCTCTGCTGTCCCTTTAAACACGTCTTCCTTCTGTTACCATAAAACTGCTAGAAGAGCCTCACTGCAAAAGTCACATGCTCTGACTCCCTTTGTTTCCCACAGAAAGCTTCTGTCTGCGTGTGCATGAGAGGGACTGAGAACAGAACATGCCATTGAGAAAAATGTCATATCTGAAATGAAGTGGATCAGAACAACTGCTGGTTTCAGCTTTTACAACTTTCTGTCTGCCGGAAAACATATTTGGTTTTCCAACATAATATCATTTGAAGAATATGTTAAAAATAAAATGTTACTAAATTAAATAAAGTTAGGAAAAAGGTTCTCCCAGTGGCTTATGACATACATGTGCAATAAATAAAATATGTGAGTCATAAAATATTTGTAATAGGCAATTATAATGGCTTATGAGGGTTAAAAAAGGTTGATCAGATTTGTATTATCTTCATATTATTTGAATGGTATTGCGGGGAGGTTCAGTTGTAAAAAGGAAATGATATAGGACACTAAAAAAAGATGTATGAACAGGAAACATTTAAATGAACCATAACACGAATGTTTTCTACACATACAGTGATGGTATATAGAAGGAAGAAGGTAAAAAGTGGAACAATCTGTATGTTTATTCAAATGCATTATAGTGAATACATATTTTGTAGAATATTGTTGTATTTTTCATCCCACACAACAAAAACAACAGCACAGTGGTGGTTTGTTCTGATGTGACTCCAGGCTCTGTCCACAAAAGTTGAACCTTCTTCAGGCATTACGGTAGTCCACCCAATAGCCCAGAGAGGAATTCAAGGAATGTGAAAAGCTCCAATTCATATTGAAACTAGATTAAAATGTGCACAACTTGACACTAAATGCTGAAATGCTACAATAATAAATGACAGAGCCTGCGTGATATACTTTGTATCAATGTGTAAATGTCAATAAATGTCTCCTGCTGGGTCCACCTCTGGGTCCTCTCCTCAGTCTACTGAATGCTTTCCCACATAAAGCAGCAGAGAGTGCTGCCCTTATTGATTATTTGAATACGTCAAAGGATTCTGATAGGGTTACCAATGTAACCAACAACAATGTCAACTTTTCAAGTGCACTGAACTTTTCCCCGCAAGTTACACTGACATCTGCCTAGTAACAGCAATACCTCCCATTGGTGCAACTCCAGTCTCCTCCCGTTTGTGTGTGTGTATGTGTGTATGTGTGTGTGTATGTGTGTGTACGTGTGTTAAAATGTCTTTAAACTTTACTATTTGCACTCCAGTATTGTGTTTTTGAGTAGCAATAGTTTTTGTCTGTGATACATGATAAACTATGCTGACGTTGAACTCCAAAGAATAAACTTCTAATTTCTTTTTGGATCGGTTGATGGATACACACTCAATTAATAATTGATTAAATAATCCCAATTTTACAGGTATAAAGTTAAAATGTGACACAGTGGGGTTCCCATACAGATGATGACTCAGCAGTCCTCAAACAATTAAAGTTAAACCTGAGAATAGTTGATTCAGTGCAATGGAGCCACATGGTGAGCTTTATGTTCACTGTGGATATACAGTGATCCACAACGAACAATTGTACTGAATGAATGCTGCATTACATTACAGATATTACAGGTACAATGGGTTTATAAGTGGACTATCAGTTATCATGTTAACTACACTTACTGAGAGCTACAGGAGCTTAATATAATACACTATCCTATCTGCCCCCCATGATATTTGGAGCTGGAATAAACGGAAATAAATAAAGCAGCATGTGTGTTTCACACTGCACTATTGTCCCATGTGCTCACCTCATGTCCAGAACAGTTTGGTGAGAGAGCGTTCATTGAGTCTTGGGGAGAGACAGAGGAAAGAGGAAGAAGGGGTGTGCGCCCTTATCGCCCCCTACCGACGCGAGGCAGCCAAGCCTTCTCCCCGGTCAGCTCTTCTCCAGCCGCACCCCCCCCTCCCTAAGACTCAGCCCCGGACCTCCCACCTCCTCCTTAGAAACTACCAGGCTATAGGAGGAGAGGACAGAGGAGGGAGGTGTTGGTTTGTGTGTGTGTGGGGGGGGGGTCCTCACAATCTCTGTTTTTCCTTTATATATGTATATAAAGAAATCCTTCCTTGCGCGCTCCCTAGCAGACTGCTTGTCTCTTTGATGCCCCTACCTCTTAACAACAGCTGACGTCATCCCGGCATCTACCCCCTCCCCACCTCCTCTTTCCTCGGCGCGTGCTCGCCGATAAAGTGTGTGTGTGTGTGTTTGTGCCCGTCTGTACGCGTGCGCGCTCGGCGAGCGCGAGACAGGGGTTTTTGTCTCGCGGGGGAAAGCGCTCTGTGCTTCAGAGGGCTCGCGCACACTGGAGGAGCAGCAGCACGCAGCAGCAGTAGCCCCGCGAGACGAAAGTGATTTAAAATACAGCCTCTCGTCTGCTGCAGCCGGTCCCTTCACTCACACTGTGACACTTAAACACGGCGAGACCTAAATTCGAGCCTACCAACGGTGAGAGTAACATTAACAGGCCTAACACAAACTATGGAGGACCAGCTGCTGTGTTGCGAGGTGGACTCCATCAGGAGAGCCTACCAGGACGTCAACCTGCTCAACGACCGGGTTCTGCGCACCATGCTGAAGGCAGAGGAGAACTACCTCCCGTCGCCGAACTACTTCAAGTGTGTTCAGAAAGAAATTGTGCCCAAAATGAGGAAAATAGTTGCCACCTGGATGTTAGAGGTACTTCACTTCAACTTTTCCCTCAGGGCCCGCTGCTAACTTGCCTGTCCGTCTCTGTAGCATAAACCCTAAAACAGGAGTCTAATGTGAAAGTTGTGTGTTAGAGAGGTTTGTTTGTGTTATTTCATTGTTCATGTTACATAAACGCTCTGAAAAGTAGCTATAGCCTACCTCATGAGAGCTGGGTGGTCCTACGGCTATAAAATGAGATATTGGTGACTCAGTTTCCAACACGAATACCTTTTTGTTATTGATTATTTAGTAGCCCGTATTTCTTTGTGATGGTTAAGAAATTAAATGAGGAAATATTCCAAAATAACAGCAATGTACACGTATGCAGTCTGGCTCGTGCCAGTAGCTATTGCGCGCCATCTTTGTTGTCGTATATAAGAGGGCTTTTAATATCATTAAAAATCTATAGCCTCAATATCAGCAGCAATGACAGTGTATCGGTTAAAGGTGTCACAAATGCATCTATATGATACGCTGGTTATATGGTGACTGCGACAGCTCGTTCGGCTACTAGCAACTGCTAAAGTTTGTTTTGCCTCACAAGAGTCACCGCCGTCTGCGAAGGTCGCGAAGAAAGAAGGAGATTTGATAAATGTACGAACTTGTTAAATGAATTTGAAGGGTCGGATTTGATAGATTATATGTTTCTTAACATTAACATTAACTTTTGGATTGAATTCTTTGCGGGTTTCTATTTTTAATTAATTTCTGAAATTGCGCACGGGAGCACCGAGGGGGAAGTGTCGCATGCAGCACGAGAAAAAGCCCGGAGAGAGAAATTAATTTATTTTAAATCTGCACGCGACCCAATTCGACATAATTGTCTTTGATCCGATCAGGCACTCGATGAGGATCATTTACGTGTTAATTGCGCCCACCCCGCTAATTTTTAAATATTTCTAAATATTTTTTGAAAAGATGACGAAGTTGAAATTAGAGACTGAAACTTGCATCGACGCCACCTTTGTGTCTCAGTCAGAACTGACTGCAAACTAATTCCTGACTCTTTTCATTACAGCACTGTTACTTACTCTAATTAATACATCCGATTGGGACTTTACATGTTTTGGGTTGCACAAAAACGATAGGCTACAATATTAAATAGCGTGCCACACAGGATATTTCAACTCTAAAAATGAACACGTGTAATTCATTTGAGTTATTTTCTTTCCGGATGACCATGGATAATGAATGCAAACAGCTGTGCACGGAATAAAAGGTAGAGCCAGTGGGGGGCCAAAGACTTAATAATGCATACGAATGGGGAATTTCCTTCCAGCAACCTCTAAGTGCTTTTCTCACCTCCCTATAGGTCTGCGAGGAACAAAAATGTGAGGAGGAGGTTTTTCCGCTGGCTATGAACTATTTGGACAGATTTTTATCAGTGGAGGCCACCAGGAAAACAAGACTACAGCTGCTGGGAGCTACATGCATGTTTCTAGCATCCAAGATGAAGGAGACTGTGCCCTTAACGGCTGAGAAACTCTGTATCTACACGGACAACTCGGTCCAGCCTGGAGAGCTGCTGGTAATTGAGTTCTGCAGACATGGATGTTGCATAACATATAAAGTACATGAGCAGCATTCACCGGAGAGCACATGACCAGAATACAGAGTGTGTGCAGGTCATCTGCTCTGTTAGTGCCACCAAAGAGTAGATTGTAGTCACATTTCATAGATAGATAGGAATAAGAGGAAGTATAAATGTAGCGTTTGGTGCCGCGGTCTCTGAATGGCTGCCTGTGACTTTCTCATGGTGACTAGAAGGCCTCTCTGATTTCATGAATGGTCTCAGTAACTGACAAGAAAATACTGATTCACAGCGACACCTAGTGCCCATAAGACAAAGCTGCAGACTGGCAATGACAAACTGAACGTGAATTACAGACACACACTTTTCTTTTGTTTGCTGTGACAATAAGTTTGTGTGCACCTGTTTCTATTGGAGTGGAGAGATACTTCATCACAATATTGTATCAGGATTTACTGCTGTAGCCTATGTATAGTATTTATAGGTAATCAGGTAAGAAACTCTTGATTTTGCACCTGATTGCATGAGCACTTACATGTCATGTCATGGAATGTCATGTCACAAAAATACATGTTTGAGAAAGTTGAAATGTGGAGAATGTTGCACTGCAGAAAAATAGAAAGAAAGTTGAAAACAAGAACCAGGATGGTATGAAAAAGCAAAGCAAATGAGAACATATTAAATGCAACAGCTGCAGGAACTAAATGTCACAGCGGATACAAAAGGAGGGGTCATTTTTTTTTTCTTTCCCTTAAGTGGGTCAGTTTGAGTGAATGCCTCTGGTCTGGTCCGTCCACAGCAAATGGAGCTGCTGGTTCTCAACAAGCTGAAGTGGGACCTGGCTTCAGTCACGCCTCACGACTTCATCGAGCACTTCCTGTCCAAGCTGAAGATCTACCCGTCCACAAAGCAAATCCTCAGGAAACATGCTCAGACCTTTGTGGCCCTCTGTGCTACAGGTATTTATGTCTTATATGTCTTATAATCCATATATTGGTTTAGAGGAACATTTCTATCTGTGTATGAGCATATATGAATCCTTATTGTATACATTTTCTTTATTTCATTGTTTGAATATGTTGCTGTAACCCATATTTATCTGTATGTTTAATACCTTCTGTTTCGTGTGTGTGTGTGTGTGTGTGTGTGTGTGTGTGTGGTTCTACAGTATTTTCTCTGCTGTAGCCTTTTACAGCTTACTGATGCACCTTTACACACAGGGCTGGTTAAAGTTTCAGTCAGAATTGAGGAGCTTTCTGGAATTGCTGGCTTTTGTCTTCTTCAAGCCAGTTTGTGGTTTTGTGGACCTGATTAGGAATACCATGTTCTCATTATTAGTTAATAAATGTTGAAGGTTCAGAGCAGCAGATGTGTAGTGCTCTGTAAGGATAATCAGTCATGTGTTGTTTTTCTGTGAAGAGCCGGAGGCAGGGGTTCCATCCAGCCTAGAGGCATGGATTGGGAGCTTGTAGGGTGTAATAATAAGTGGTTCTGGTGGATTATTCAAAGGAAAGTGGTGTTCTATAATGTGCTACAGAGGTTCTGTGTCGTAACACGTGCTTGTGTCGTTCCCACAGATGTCAACTTCATTGCCAGTCCTCCATCCATGGTGGCAGCCGGCAGCGTGGTGGCAGCTGTTCAAGGTCTCTACCTGAAGAGCCAAGATGCATCCTTGTCCTCCCAGAACCTCACCAACTTCCTGTCGCAGGTCATTCGCAGTGACCCGGTATGCAAACACACATTATTCCAAACCCATACTATATATGTCAGCTAAAAAGTCTTGAATCCAATGATCTGACATTTAGGCCTAAAATATCTTAAATGTGATTGTCATTGGATTTTTTTGCTTGCTAATAAGCTTGCTGTAACAACTAGGCTACTAAATTAAATACATACAATAAATCACAACACATTAATGATAAATTGTATCTAAATAAATTAAAATAAAATAAAAACGAACATCAATAGTCAAATGCATAGCCAGTATGGACGTGACATATGGCTTAAGGTCCAGTGTGTATTATGTAGGAGGATCTGTTTTTAGAAATGGAATATAATATTCATAAGTATGTTTTCATTAGTGTATAATCAGCTGACTATAAGAATATTATAAAAATAAAAATGTTGTTACTTTAGAATGAGCTGTTTTTAATCTATGAAGGTAGTGCGTCCTTTAGAGTCCTCCATGTTGAACCACCTTGTAGCCTGCAGAAATCCTGCCATATAACATTAATGTGTGTTAAGCCAGTGATTGATCAGTGTCCACTCTGTCCTTGTAGGATTGCTTGCGGGCCTGTCAGGAGCAGATAGAGTCTCTGCTGGAGTCCAGCCTGCGGCAGGCTCAGCAGCACAGCAGCACAACGGAAACGAAACTCGTGGACGAAGACGTAGACTTGTCCTGCACTCCAACAGACGTCAGAGATATCAACATCTGAAACAATTTGACAGCCGCATTGCACTGATGATCGAAGGAAAGTGGTCGACTGAGGGCGGTGACAGGCGGGCCGGGGAGGGGGGTGCCTCATCTGCCTCCCCTCCTCCCCCTCCCTCTTCCTAGTGGGCTGCTATCATGGCCGACATGTCACTCACTGTCCGCTACAGCTGCCGAGACGGGACCGAGTGCCCGGCAACAAACCCCAAGTCACATTTCCAGTGTCCCCTCCCATCCTGGGAAAAGAAATGAACACTACAGAAATGTACAAGAGATAAAAGACAGCGTATACTGACGCCCTGCGTGGGCGGGGGTCAAAGCCACAAAGCAGACATTTTAGTAGATATCTTTTCTTATTCCCTCAAATATTAAACTAGGAATCTTTAAATTACCACAGACTCAACTCACCTACTAAAACATTCTTGTAATCTGCCTTCTGGTCTTCACCTAAAATCTGACTTTGGTTAAGGAGAAGAGTTTTTTTGTTGTTGTTTCATTTCTCTTCTTTTATATGTAGAATGGTTTAGACTGCCTGTCCAAGCTCCCATGTTTGTCTTGTTGCAGTGCAGACATTCATATATCCCTGCTTGCTTATGTTTAGTCACTTTATTATATATGATTTTAGACCTCTTTATCAGTTAGTCTTATACCTCTTTTCTTCAGAGCTTTTGTTTTTTAAACCAAGTGTAGTGTGAGATGACCCTAGTGACTGTGGACTGCTTAGGGTTTGAACAAATGTGATTCTTTGTTCAACATTTCAGCTTGCCGTTGTTTGATGAGATCATATCAATGCGCGGCCAAGCAGAACAGTCCAGTCTGTTCTGTTTTCTTTTGTCTGTGTAGTTCAACCTAAACCATTCCAACGTTGTTTTCTAAAAAAAAAAAGCACTTTTGGTCAGCGCTGCTGGCCGTCTAAAAAAATCAGTGATAAAGTTTGTAAAACAAGATGAAAATGGAATGGGGGGTTTGAGCAGGAGTAGTCTTTTGGTGATGAAGAGTGAGTTGCACCTGGATCTGATTCAACAAATGGGACTAAAGAAATGACCAGTAGCTGCAGAAATATTTAAACAAACAAGACTGATTGCTGCTCCATACTGTCATTAGTCTTACAAGAGCCAGCGGCTTCAGTAGCTGCCTACCAGCTCTGAGTTTTAGTTCAACAAATGTTTCATGTGGGCCTAGCTGCTCTTACCTTTTTTTTTTTTTTTTTAAAAGATATGGTTGCTTTAGTTAAACCTCAGTGTGCAGAGCCAAAAGTAAAAAGAAGTATTATTTTTGTAGATAAAATAATACTTTATTTTTATATAGTAAAAGTTTTTTCTAGTTTGCTAACGAACTGTGGCTCTACCTGCTGATGTTTATCAGGCTGCGGGGATGCTGGAAGTAAGTCTGAGCATAACATTTATGACCAGGATAATTTGCACCGTAGTGAATAGTAATTAACAACAATTTATACACATTTTGTATAACTTTTTTTAGTGGATAAAATGGATTTAAAAAAAAAAAAGGTAAAACCACTTTTCATGTCATATATGCCAGTGTACACATGCACATCCCAGTAAAAAAGGAGGAAGTCATTATATGTTGAAATATTTTTCTGAACAAATACTTTTATTATGCCAGAGTTTACTACTTCCAGCACCCATGTCCGGCTCCAGAAATATTTGTAAGACTAAAACTCTAGTCTGCTTCTGAGTCACCAGGACCACATCTTCTCTGTTGCTCGACCTCAGTTCAAATACTGCTCATGGATTCTGGGAAGGGGATGAAGCTAAAAAAAAGAAAAGAAGTGTTGAGACTATTGACATGATTTTGCACAAAGCTAAAAGACGTGGGCTGCATTTCTTGCAGACTTTCCTAAAAAAAAGCGAGGGCGCTGAGGGCTGAAATGGCAGCAAAAATGGCAAAAAGGGTGAAGGCTCAACAGGGAGGTGTGTCTTAATGCTGTAGAGTTCAAGTCAGGGTTCCTATGCAGGGCGGGAAAGTTGTCGTGACCAGGTCGGTAAATGCTTTATATATGAAGATGGACTGATTACAAGCAGGAGGGCTCTCTTCAAATCTATTCTGTAAGAAAGTATTGAATTCTATGTCCAACTGCGTAGGAACCCTGTCAATTAGGTTTCTGATTGTACATTAAGGATAGAGAGTAGGAGAGAAACACTCCTTGTTTTCAGCTGCTATAGAAAATAAATCCCAGCTACGTGTTT